CAATGTAAAGAACGATCAAAATATATTATATGTTAATCAACTAAATACGGAAGGGCAGACTGGAAATATTCCATCACCGGATAAATTACCACCATCAATTATTGATAGTCTCAAGAAATTGGAAGTGAAGAATAAAGTCGTGTCAAAACAGGTAATATAAAGCAATTCAATATCCAACTTCATATTTAAATCTAAGTCAGTCCTATGACTAGGAACAATCGAATAAAGTTCGTTTAGAAGCGATAAAGCAACGTGCATTAGAAAAGAAAGTAGAAAGGGAGAAAATTACTCAGGCTTTAAGGAAAAATGAAGGATCAACGGTTATTATATATTTTGTAATTTATTTTTTATTTTATTACATATGCTAATCACTAAACTAACTTGCACGATTTTCAGAAGTTAACGAACCATATAGTGTTTTCTGATAATAATTTAGCACCCGAAATATCTGAAAATCTCAACTTGTTTGATTCGGATGAAGAACATAATAACGATGAACAATCAAACCTGGGTACTAAATAATTATTTACACATATAAATATATTTATGCCCTGAAATACAAATATAGTTTTATCTCAAATTTTGTAGATATAGCAATTAATCCAATATTTGAAGGCGAATCTGGACGTGAACGTCTCTACATTCAAAGAAAGTTTCGTGGTGATGACCGGTTCAAATTGACTAGCGATTTTGTTAGTGACGATGAAAAAAATAATGCAGATGAAAATAATCCCGAGAAAAATGGTAATATGGATCAAGTACTGCCAGAAGAAAAAGCAAACCAGATTGGAATCTTGAAAGGGCTTCTGGGTTATGATCCAAATAAATCTAATCCTAAAAAGTTTGTAAATAAATGGTTTCTTTTAGTGTTTCGATCGTAATATAAACCAATATGATATTATTTCTTTCGTTCTACAGGAAATCGTTGCAATGGAAAGAACTGGTTCATTTTGATCCTGATGCGCCTGAAGCTAAGAATCTCGAATTGGATAATATTCACGAAGATTCGGATTCGTCAGGTATATACTTTCAAGTCGTAAATTTACACGTGTGAAATTGTAATAAATGTTTATATTCATATGCAGAACCTATAACCGGGTCTAAAACAACGTCACAGCCCTTACCACAAGTATCAAAAGAAGTAAAGATCGAAATAAATGCTGATTTAAAAAGAATGTTTGCTCCAAACGCTTTAAAAGGTAAAAAAGGCTTTCATAAAGAATTCTAAAAGAATTTTTTTGTACACGCATTCTTGAACAAAGTACTATTATATTATAGTTGCAACTCCTTTTTCGCTCTTTGGTAACGCAGAGAGCGAGGAACATGAAGATGTGCAAATGGAAGATCAGAAGAGTGATGAAGAATCTTTGGTATGTTCATATTAATTCGTTTTTATTTAAAATAACTCTTAACTATGAACATTTTTCTTTTGTGCTTGAAGGATGCCATTAGAAAAACCTATGAAGTAACGGATCAAACCACGAGTCAAGGGATAGGATCTACATCCGGTCCAATGTTTTTTTTTCATTTTGGAGATGCTGCATTGTCTACAAGGTTGTATATACTTTTTGGTTTATAATGTAAGCACACAAAAATAACAACTTGTTCTCGTTTTTTTCTCAAAGATCACATTATAGAGATTTAAAAATTTTTATGCGAACTACCTCAATGTAAGCATTTCACTGAACATAATCTATTTTGATAGTGATCGAATTTCGATTTTTTAGTTTTGCTTAATTTTCAGGGAAGAAATAATATCACATTGGCAAAATACGTCACGTGATATGACTATTGAATACAAACGTAAACATAAATCAGCATCAAGAAAATTGATCAAAATGAAACATAGAAGTAATCAAATGTAACAGTAAGTTGACATGTTAGAGTTTATATTTGCCAGATGCTAAGAGGGAAAATCGGCCTTTTTTTGAGCTTAACTACTAGGAATCGGAAACAGATATAATATAAGTCCGAAGCATAAAATTTTTTTTTTTCTTATTTTCATTGCAATTGTCTTATTCATTGAGTAATTTCGATGATCATTGCGAACCCTGATGTAAAATTTTAAAAAAAAGTAACAATCCATTTTAAAATAGTAACATAAAAATGAATAAAAAAACTAGCTAGTACAGTCAGACCTTTCTATAATCACACCCCATATAGTCACACCTTTATTTAAGCACCCTATTTTGTGTGACAGACTTAAAACATAATGCAAAAACCTTATTATAGTCACAAATCACTTATAATTACTATAACATTAAAATTTAATTTTTATTAATAAAAAAACCTTTTTATAATCACTAATTTATTAATTAAAACTAAGTTGTAAAGCCTATTAAGACGAATCTAATGGTGGTTAAATCATCAAAATCAGCCTAGTGAATGCTGAGATATTTTGAAAAACTTTTCGCCGACTATATAAAATTGTAAAACAATATGACAAAATGTTTTTTAAAGATATCTTAGCACCAACTGGGTCGATTTTGATGATTTAGCCACCATTTGATTTGTCTTAATGAACTTTACAATTTTACATAGAGACTCAAAGGTGGTTGGTTAACTTAGTACAAATAAATTTTTAGATGTAGAACAATCATGACTAATATATTACCAATTAATCATTGATTGGCTGAAGATTATATGATATTAATCTGATACAGTATTTGTTTATAGTCACACATCTATACAGTAGGGTTAGGAGCATGGAGCATGGGGCATGAGGCATTGGGGTGTGCGATATACTATGTAAATCAAAACTATATATAGTTATATAATAAATTTATTAATGAATATTTTTATTTTATTTTTATTTTTTTTTTAATCTTCAAAGGTAAGGTCATGAATATTTTTTATTTAGATAATAATTTTATAGTAATTAAAGTAAACTTTAAATAGATATATAGCTCTAACGGTTTGATAGATTTGGATAAAATTTTGCAAAAACTAGCATTATATCTTTACAAATAAAGCTATAAAGCCATTTTTTTAAAAAAGAAATTAAATTAGGATTTTTTTTAGTTTTTTTTTTTTTTTAAAAAAAAAAAATATATAGTAGATTAAAATTTTTTTATACTTAAATAAAAGAAATGGCTCTATAGCTTTGTTCATAGAGACATAATACTAGTCTTTGCAAAATTTTATCCAAATCTATCAAACTATTAGAGCTGTATATCTATTTAAAGTTTACTTTAATTATTATAAAATTATTATCTATCTAAAAAATCTTTATTAATAGATGACCACATATAGTTTTGATTTACATAGTATATCATATATCCCAATAAGGCATACCTCTAGACATGTCCTTTTTCAAAAATTTAGATATATAAAAAGTTGGCACGTAAAAAATTTTAAAAGCATATCTATAGGATATGTCTCTAAATCAAAAAAACTAAAAGCATGTCTATGAGGCATATTCGAAAATTTTCTATACCACTAATCCTACTATACAGTCACCATATTAGAGTGCAATAGACTTAGTAATTATATAGAAATTTGACTATATTTTTTTTCTAGCATCATGGAACTGAAAAGTTATTTATAGATTTATAAATTTTATTGTTTAAATATTAAAAAAGTTTTATATATGGTGTCTTAACTATTTTCATTTTTTCATTACAATAATAAATTTATTTGACTGGCTAAACTATTGTTCATTAATTGATAATCTGTGAATCAACTAGACAAAATATATAGTAAAACATAATTCAGATTACTATATAAATTATATATACCTCAAATACTATGATCATCCAAGGAAAACTTTTTTCTTATTAAGTTAATTAACCTTCTGTATTAAGAGAAAGTTGTAAAGTTCATTAAGACACATCTAATGGTGGCTAGATCATCCAAGTTGGCTTAGTAGATGTTAAGATTTCATTAAAAAATATGTTAACAACTATATAAAATTTCTATAGAAACTATATATTGTAGAAATTTTACATAGTCATTGACATGTTTTTTTAATGATATCTCAACATTTACTATGTCAATTTAGATAATTTAACTACTATTAAATGCATCTTAACAAGCTCTACAACTTTCTCTTAATACAGAAGGTTAATTAATTTAATAAAAAAAGGTTTCTTTAGATGATTGTGGCATTTAAAGTATATATAATTTATATAATAATTTGAATTATATTTACTATATGCACTGGTTAAAAATTTTTAATATAATAGGCCGATATTAAAGTGAAATATATAAAATCAAAAATCATAAAATCGGGTATAAGATATTCATATAAATAGTATAATTAACAAAATATCAGCCTACAGATAGGCAGAAGTTTAA